AACTTCTATAATTGGACATCTTGTTGAACAATGTATGACCGAAATATGCTCATGTTTGTTGCTGAAATATGCTTATCTTCGTTGTTGAAATGGGCTATAGTTGTGCTGAAATAGGCTTCTTTTAGCTGATGTTATTCCTGAGTATTGTGCTAAAATTTGCAGTTGTTTTGCTGCTGAAATATACTATGTTGCTGCTGAAATGATATCATTGTTGCTACTATTTATCTTATGTTTGCTGCCTCTGAAATATACTATGTATGTTGTTTAAATCTGCTGAAATACACTCTATATAGCTATTGAACCATCTACTATTGTTTTTTGTTGAAATTTGCTCTAGTTATGCTCCTGAAATGTGATTGTTTTGTTGCACAAATGTTATTCTTTGTAGCCACTATGTTTGTTTAAATATTTTGATTTTCTCGTGGGTTCCCCGAAACCCGATGGGTTTAGGGGACGGGCGGAAAACTAGTCCCGTGCACGGTGATGGGGACGGGGACGGGTTTGCGATTTTCTCATGAAGATGGGTTTGGGAAGGCAAAACCCGATGGGTTTCGTCCCCGTTGCCATCTGGACACACAACCACAGGAGAGCTCAGGTGCTCATCACACATGTGTGGAAGGATTTTTGAATCCATCGTATGACTAAAGATATTATCCACTAGGAATTATCAATCCATACTCTATAAATAAAGTTTTTCAGTACTTGTGACCCTACCTATAATATATCTATGATTATGTTCGGTTAGAAGATGCACATATATCCTAATATGTGGTGTTTTCAGGCACTCAACTGTTCTATTTCTGTCTATACTTATGTCCTTATCACTTGGTATATAAGTGTGCTAATTAATTTTGGGGCAAAAAAATCAAGTGGCGAAAGTATCTCGACTCTCTAGCTTGCGCTCCATGAAATCGTGAGAATTTGATGTGTTTGCTAGGGGCAGCTCTGGCGCCTAATCTCAGCAAACAAATCCACCGCAAGTTAAGGTATTACTTCATATATATAACTTGTAATTTCTTTATAGAACACTACATTGCTGCAGATATTGATGGACTATGGTCAAAACCTTAATGCTTAACGACTCAAAATAGGTCTTATGTTTTGAAACGGATGGGGTTGCCCTAATTTCTTTGCGGAATTTGTACTGCCGATGACAAAGTGGTGCTACTTGCCCATGGGCAGGAATCGAATCGAATCAAATCGAATCAGCTCCGATATTTGCATGGATCGAGAGCTAACCTTTCAAAAGTAAAACAAGGCGCGACGTTTACCAGATTCCAAAACCTCATACGTTGCACACAAGAAACACCCATTTGCAAGAAAAATATTGTTGCCCTTTCACAGGTTCCACAGATAGCAGCAAGCTGCATGATATATTTAGTTAAGGAAATGACCGAGCGCATCGCTAAGCATGCACTTTGCCTCCTTAATTTGCTAATATTTACATTTGTTAATCTGCAAGTTGCATATTTGCATATTTGGCATCATCATCTTCTCCTCCACTGGTCGCCTCTACGAATATGCCAACTCCAGCGTTGCCACCACCATGGGCATGGCCATGCCTTCCATCATTGAAAACTACCAATCTGCAAAGAGCACCATATTAGCTGTTGAATCCAGTCTCACAAGTCATGGTATGCGCACATGCATTCCTTGCAACCTTTTATTTACTCCCAACTTTCCATACATGACGTTTTTGACATGTAGACATGCAGTTTGCATGATGCAACTTTGAATGATATTTTTTTATACAAAATAGTTGGTTAAATTACAGACTTATAAAAAAATCTAATGATCGTCTTATGCTCATTTGAACAATCTCACTAAAAATGTACATATTTATAGTCAAATTAGAGAAGTTTAAGTCTTACTGTATGCATATACTTTTAGCACTACACCGTAAGCCAAAAAAAGTAATGCTTATTTGGCAAATACCCATAATAGTACCACTTCTTATTTTATTTTATTTTGCAAAAAAGTTGTGTAACTCGGTTTCCAGTAACTCAAAGTTTCTGATGACAGAAAAATGTCTTTTTTTCTAGTTTTGGAAAGGGGGAGTCAGGAAATTATAGAAGGAAATAGACATGTTTCAAGAACATCATCGGTACACGTTCTTAATTATGTTCCTTCCAATGCTATCTATCTAGTTTAAATAAGTTAGAGTAAAGACAGGAAAGTCCACTCAAGTAATCACATTATTGTTAGGAAGCTAATGGAGGAGAGATTATCAAACTTAGGAGTCAAAGGCTTATGTTTAATGGAAAATTAACTGGAGAAGACCTTACACTGTATATTAGAGAAAAGAAGGTAGCTGAGCTCCCTCAGTTTGTTCTTATTTCTGCTAATCATTGTACCCACTTCCATACTCACGACACTAACATTTTTTATAAGAATGATAGTAACTATGTGTCTCCTGATACCCATTTTAGGAACAAAGTTTCACCAAATATATTCTACAACTCAACGAGAAGGTTCACCAATATTTCTATCACTCGTGTGTCCAATTTTACTTAGATTCCCATTATCGTGTAAAGTTTAAATAATACATATTTGAAAACGTTATATTACATACATGATAAATCAATAAAGTGACCTTGTAGGGATACATCTTTCATCAAGAGAATATTCAACTCTATGGGGAAATAAAGCTTATCGATGAACAAAACTTGGAATTGAAGAACAAGGTAACTTTTTTTTACTATGCTGTCAAAAAAAAAAACTGACTGACTTGACTATGTACCAGTGCCTTTTGGGGGTTTGAGATTAATGGTGCCGCTTGATATTGGTTTCAGCTTTTTATATTGAATGGCTCTACTAAGGGTGCAACATGGTTATTGACTTCACAGTTTCATAAAGATGCAGAAACCGGGAGTTGAACTTTTCTGTAGTTGTATCATCTTGTTGTGGTACAAATAATCAACAAAATAATGCTGATACAGGATTTTCATTTGCAAACGCATGAGATTTATTGGGTATTGATTTGTATATATATGTGCACGTAAGTTGTTACACCAGGCTTTCAACTATCATGGAAAATTGCCTCCCTAGGAGTTTAGGCCGTGTCCCGTGTGTCAGTCCAAGCGTGGCTAATCATCCTCTAGAATATGACTCCTGCATATAATTGTATTGATCATCTACTGCTAGCTTGATCAAAATGTTTTCACCATGTATGTGAAGAACCTGAAGTAATTTTCGAGTGCTAATATAACTGAGATGGGAAAAGAAAGATGCTTTAATTAATAATTTAGCTGGAGAAGAAAGAAAGCAGCAGGGAGAATCAGTGCCTCCAGCTTTGTCCAGTCATCCCAAAACACTTGAAGTCCATACAGCTGAGCTGATGCAAGAGCAAAAAGAAAGAATCAAACCAGATCAGATCAGAGTGGTTGCATCAATAAGGACTACATACTAAAGATCAAGTGGTGCCATGACTCAGAGCACCAAATCTGAAAGGAAATCATCTTTACTCGGATCTAATCCATTACTGGCTCCAATCGAGGTCAAAACGCCGTCACTCGCGTGGACTGCACATTTTTGCATCGTGCTCCGTGGCCACTTTACTTACTAACCTTAAAACTGTCCTTTTTTGGATGAGCCAAGTGGACAGCTAGCTGGTACATATGTGTGCTCACGAATCTAGAAACCTTAAACAACATGGTACTACTACCTAGGCTTTATAACTTGGATGTTACCATTAGCACCCAAATGCCAATGTTCCTGGCGCACCCACCTCAATAAGTATGGCTATAGTTATTATATCCGTCAAAAATGACAACCAACAAGGTTTCCCCAAGTGTGAAATACAAACTTAAACATATAATACTGTAGCCACCATATGCAATAAATGAATTTAAAAAGAAACTGAAAGACGCAACAGGGTCTATTGGTTGTGGTGGATCTACGACTTCTTAATCCGTAAGATTTGTCATCTTACACGACAGAGCATCAGATGCGCCATATTGGCATCAAAAGTCGTACCGTCATTGTTGATAAAAAGCCATGCCATTTGTCGCCTTCTATATCAACCGTGTTAATACGCAATTGGACAACTGTACCAAGATATAAGTACACACTTATGAAGAAAGTGTACTACCCACATGTTACATGGTAACATGACGAGATACAATTGGATGGCTCCACCAAGATACGAGCCCACAATTTCAAGTGTACCACTTACAAATTACGTCGTAATGTGTCGAGATACAATTGGATAGCTCTACCAAATATAAGCACATGGTTTCGAAGAAAATATACACCCACATATGACAAGATAGGAGCGCACCATTTCCAGGAAAGTGTACACCCATATATTACGAGGTATGAGCACAAGGTTTTGAAGAAAGTGACAAACTAGAAACCACTTGCCTCTGAACGAAATGGAGCAGGTTTTACCGCTCCAACCTCAGTTAGAAACAAATCTACAACTTTGAATAGGTAGCTAACACAACGCTAGTCTGTTTCAACGGTTCGAACAAAAAGCGTCTGGCTTGGTAGCTGACGCCATATTCTATGGCAATGGCAACATGTCCAAAGGCAATAGGCTATCCTCGTACCCCAAATTTAAACTATGAACAGTCGCAACAATATATATATTATGGATGTCCTTGTCGCAACCACCGAGGAAAATAGTATATAATGGGCCATTCATTAACCTAATTTAAAATTAAAATAGTACTATTTAGCAGTTGTTTAAGCCTAGCTTAGTGTTGTCAGCACATGGCCACCACCATCTCGATCCCTTTTCGTTGCAGACCATTACAAGCAAACCCAAGAATACAAAAAATAGCTAGCTGGATCAGGTAGCAGCTGGGGGGAAAGCTTCAACTAGCTAGATTAGACTTGTCGATTGTCACCCAGCTAGACAGTAGAGAAGAAACAATTAGCAGCCTCTAGCTTAGCTCCATTTCGATCGGTTCTTAATTACTTTCGTCAATCGGCCGGCCAGCCGGCAGGAGAGAGATCTAGAGAAGAAGAAGAGGAAGGGGAAGAGGAAGAAGAAGAAGATGGGGAGGGGGAAGATTGCGATTGAGAGGATCGACAACACAACGAACCGTCAGGTGACCTTCTCCAAGCGGCGCGGAGGGCTGATGAAGAAGGCCCGGGAGCTTGCCATTCTTTGTGACGCCGATCTCGCGCTCATCATCTTCTCCAGCACGGGTCGCCTCTATGACTTCGCGAGCTCCAGGTCTGTTAGTTAACAATTTGTTCCTGCACCTTCCCAATACTCTACTCCCTCTGTAAAGAAATGTAAGAGTGTTTAGATCACTACTTTAGTGATCTAAACGCTATTATATTTCTTTACGGAGGGAGTATCAGTTACTTAATTTCATCCTCTCATAGTTTGGATGTGTTTCTATTTATTTTATTTTATTGTCTTCATCAGTGGAATGCAGGCAATACTAGAGCGGTACCAGAAGGCAAAAGAGGAGCACTGCGGAGTGTTGAATCCAACATCTGAGGCAAAGGTATGTAAGTATATATGCATAGTAATTTTTCCACGCCACATATATATTTACCAAAGGAAAGAGAACGGTGAAACGAATAGCAAACAAGCTTGGATGAAGATCTAGCAATATGATCTCTGATGATCCGCCTTCGAGTGAGATTTTGTCTTTTATTTCATAATGCTTCAAACTATGCAATAAAGATGACCGCATGTATGATCGATGCAGAAACAGAACCCAGAGGTATTCCTCTCCCTTTGTGAAAAAATAGCAATCTAGCTAGCTAGATGTGCATATAGCTCATTTCCATGAACTAATTAACTGAAGTGGTTAATCATTCAGTTGAACGGTTCTAAACAGACTTTCGCCATGGTGCTAAAGGAGGTAAATAGTCTCATGGGTGAAAGAGAGTGTGTGTTTGCTCATATTTCTAGGGAGCAGAATAAAATTAGCCATGTTCTTGCTAACTTTGGTTGTCAGGAGGATCACACTGTTGTTTGGATCCAATCTGGACATGACAATATCCTTAGTGTAGGAATGAACTTCTTTGCTCTTGAGCAATACACCCTTTTTACCACCATAAAAAATAAAAGCAAACCACCAAGTCCAAATGTCAGAAGAAAATAATAATAACTCCTACCTATTAGTAGTTATCGTACGTTAGTGTCTCCTCACGGAATTAAATCTCTAATCAAAATTTTACGCCAAACGAATTAGGGAATCATAATCATTATTGATTCATAATTAATTACTAGGTTAGAGCATCTACAACTTGGGCTAATATGAGCCCCTATATGTTTGCGGAGGCGTCTGGACATGTACGTGGACAGGACCAAGCCACCACCTATATGTCCTCCCGTGCAACCACATCCTCCTTTATAAAACCTCAAATGCATGCAATGACATGCACGTCCATCATTTGACGATATAAATACACATAACAATGAATTTAACACACAAATAAAATTTATTTGAAGAGCAAAATACATAGTTCAAACATAAATTATTCAGAGTGCATAATTTAAACATAAAATTAAATGATTTTCATTGTGGATTCACATATGCTCCGCAAGATCATTCAGTAGTTACACAACAATTCATCCTTGATCACCGAGTTCACAACATGCTCTACATCTTGTTTCGGGAGGCAGGCATGTACTCCAGACGTTTCAAAATCTTGTGTGTGTGTGTGTGTGTGTGTGTGTGTGTGTGTGTGTGTTTTGCCCCTTCGCCCTCATCCTTCACAATCATGTTGTGCAAGATTACACAACACATGTCATCGACTGCTACAATGTCTCCGGTCACACATCATTGCAACTCCACGAACAGTACCCCAGTGAGCTTGGAGCACTCCAAATGCCCTCTCCACATCCTTCCTAGCACCTTCTTGCATTTATGCAAACAGACACCATTTGTTACCTTGGGACTCGGATATAGTCTTCAGAACGCCGCTCATCGGGTAATAAGTATTATCATCAAGGTAGTATCCCATAGTGTAGTTATGTCTGTTGATGGTGTAGTTGCATTCAGGGTAACAACTATCTTGCCCTTTATCGAACCCTTGAAGTTCAAAACATGCTCCACTTGCTTCTCTATTTCTTCCTGGATGCTCATCATCAACATAATGAATCAAGCTCGTTGTTCTCAAATTCATCATCATGCGCATACATGTTTGCCTACTAATGAGCAAAAGAATGTAAAAATAGTTCAAACATTTTGTCGAACACAAAGATGGCGAAGTGTATGTCAGGAGGAGTAGGATGTACCAGGGTAGCCTAAGGACTTCTTTGGAGAAAAAATTCCATGCATTCAAACCTCTTTGTATAACTACTTTGTTTTACTTGTACCATCCGACACTCTATGATCCAAATTCCAATGTTTTTCTAGTCTTACAGGATTCAAGAAAAAAATTCCAATCACGTGGTTTTCTTCTTTTCCATGCATTTTGAGGATAATGTGAATCAAAGAGTACCTAAGGGCCTCTTTGGCTCGAATTATAAAAATATTTAAACTGCAAAAAAACATCAAAATGGTTGTCATGTTATATTAGTTCCTACATAAATTGAATACACGTCATACTATAATAGAGCATGTTTGGTTGTGTCATAGTAAAAAAATGAGAAACAATTCCGAAAAGATTGTGAACATGGCATACTTGTCAAACAAATAATGAAATTCCATGAAGTTGCTCAATGGGAATTTCATTTTGACCTATAGGTAGAGGAGACTATATGAAAAATTCTTACGGCTTTTTAATCCTAGAAACTAAAAAGTCTAATGAAATTCGTTTAAACTGGTGACGCCCTAAAAATGTTATCATATAGGAGGGGGTGGGGTATTTAGAAAACTGTGGCTATCACATGACTATATAGATATCCACTCAGTCTTCTAAATAACCCGTCATGGCTATCACAAGACTCATCCATGGCCAGATGGCATGTAACCCCATGCATGTTTTCTTGTCTCAAGTGTGAAGCTACCATAGATTATCTGATGCATGCCACTGCAAATGATTCCCACAAATATCTATCTATAAATACTTTAGAAAAGTAACGACAACTAGAAAACCTCCAAAACATCTTGGTTGTAGCTAGATAGTCCAAATATGTCATGAGATTGTGCCACATTTTTTCCATTCTTCATTTCTAGAAATACACACACACAGAGAGAGAGAGAGAGAGAGAGACATTCTTTCTCTCTATATATATAATACCACCCCGCGGTAGTTCCCTCATGGTAGTATATATAATACTTTATCATTCTAAGTATGTTCATATACTATATCTAAGATATTTCAAAGCAAGATAGCTAAAAAACTGCATGTAAGTCCATAGTATTTATATATTTTAACAATAGCTTCATATTTGTACGTATAAAACAATATCTCAATCTTCCCCATGTAGGTGTTCTTGGATAATGTTATCTTTTGTTAAACCACCTCCATCCTTAGATGTGTATGGTCAACCTTATTACACTGTTTCATTATGAAAATATCAAGCTTTGTACTTGTTGTCAAAAGGAGAGAAAAAAACATGGACCAACAAAGACCAGCATGCCAAAAACACCACTCTAATCAATCATAAACCAATCACTAGTCAATCGTCCAAACATTAGACATAAATTGCCCAGTAATTCACTCATGCTTCTTTGGACAAGCTCCATCGACTCTCTATGTTGCACCTTCTGCAATAACACATATGACTGCAACATATTGTAGATGAGAGTATCACCTACATACAAGAATAAGCCTTCTTTTTGTCAAACATGAAATCATTTTTGTATCATCAGATAGATCAGAACATCATTGTTGGTCCGCGACCAATGTGAGAAATCTTAAGATTTGTCATCTCCTGTTGGGACCAATTTCTAAGGGCTAGAGGGCGAATGGTGAAGTCATATTAAGGAACTATACGCCAAGTTTTGGGGTTGGCACTTTTAGAACAAGACAATGAAGACTATGCAACTTAAAGTACTTAGCAAGAAGGTAAACAAGAGCATTGAGCAGTGAAAAATAATAACTTGCAAGTAAGAGATATATGGCAAAGGGAATCCAAATACTCGTGACACGAGAATATATTTCCCCTTGGTTTGGATAATTGGCACTATTCTACATGCACATTGATGGAGTCTTCAAACAACAATTCTAGGATCACAAGGATCTGGATTGCATTGCCCACCAAGTGGTCGGCCCAGTGCAATCAACCTATTTCATCATGGCTTGCACATAGAAGCATCCACTAATTAAGGGCATATCTTCACTAAGAGGGCAATCTCAGAGCTCGTATGAGCTCTTGAGTCCTTCACACATAGAACTTGGTAGGCTCTCAACTGACTCCTAACCATCTAGGATGCACTCACTATCCTTGAGTAACAAGCAAAGTAGATTCACTTGATAAGAACTCCTTGAATAATCTTTGATCAAAGCTTCTCCCAATAATCCAAAAGATCACTCTCTCATAAGGATCAGAGTGTGGTTAAAGTAATGAACTTAAGATGTGTAGGGATTAAAGAAGGAAGTTCTTCGACTTGAAAGAATCAAGAAGTGAAATGGAATCACCCAACACCTTTTCTCTTCTATTGTTGCCTTGGACCTCTCTTCATCTATGGCGCTTTAAACTTCCATAGTAAAGGCCCAAAAATATGCAAAATACTACAAAGCAGGAGATATTAAATGCCAGATAGATAGCTTGCTATGCAACAGATGCTAGACAACAATAAAAAAATGTTGAACGGTTTCTTGTTAATAACAATAGCTACAATGAGTGTCCCCTGGCATATTTATTTAACCACATTGTCCTTTGTTAGTATAAATTTTGGATCAAGAACTAAGGAAAATCTTTATCTCTAACGGTAATTTAAGACTCGACAATTTTTAGACGTAAAATTGAACCTTTTATCTGTTAAAGACGAACACAGCAAGTGCACAGAGAAAACTCCACAAGTGTGAAGATCTCATTGAAGCATGTAATGGTCTGTGGTTAGACGTGGATGCACAATCTTAGGGACAGTCTCATTCGAGTTTGCTAAATGTTGGCCAATGAATACTCTCTACTAAATTCCACATGTGGGTTCTCAGCTCCAATAATCAATGAAGCACTGGAATTCTTACGACGTACAATACTAAATATCCCGCAGTTATAGCCAAAAGAAGCCTATCCATGATGTACCTATCCTCTCAAAGTTAAATTGACTTACCATTCCCTCACTAAATGGTTTAAATTTATCAGAAGTATCATCAACCTTCATGAGTCCCTTTCAAAAGTAGGAGTATGTTGATTTGACTTTAACCACTGAGAGTTTTTTACCCCAAAATAGCTAGTACTATGTAAGAGAAACTACCACACTTCATCCTTGCTTAGCAACTTAAACAACCATTTTACTCACATTTTTTACTTGTAGATCATGAATTCCAAGGCTACACTCATTGTTAGGGATACATAAAATATCCAGCCATGAAAATGGTACTTTTTCTTCTATTCCTTCGACTGTCAAATGAATTAAGACTGATAATAGTCTAGCCTCTCCCGAACCCTCCTGATATCTCCAAAAAAGATAGCATAAGGATGGGGAGACTCCTATCACAAAATTAATCAAGACCAAGCACCCTCACCAGGAAAGATTCTTGGACTTACCAATACTAAGACACTCCTCAAAGTGGTCTTCGATGACCTTCCAATCGCATCGCAAATCTTGCAGCAATTTATTAGAGTACAAAGGTATTTAAAGGGGAAGAACCCATCATGTAACCAAAAGGTTGCATATACTCAAGTTCATGCTCCTTGGCTTTTCCAAAATAATACAACTCCCTCTTGTGGTAGTTTATCTTAAACTGAAAGACCTACTCAAACATGCAAATGATTAGCTACATATTGGTAGCTTTAGCCAAGTCAAGATCCATAAAAAGGATCGTGTCATCGGCTTTCCCCATGTAAGTGTGTAATCCATTACGCTCAATTGTTGCAACGGTACCACTACTGCAAAATGACTCTACACTGACCAACACTAAAACCCAATACTAATAGGTTTGATCGTCTGTCAATAAAGAAATGCCAATGGGACCGGTGGAGACCATGACAAAACCCAAAAATATCGGGCTATGCCAGTAGGCCTTGCTAGTAGTTCATCGTTGGCATGACCTGGTATCACTCTCTCCCCTAACATCACCTTACTATCTCCTCATGGTCTCCATTACATCCTCCCGACCAATGGTGAGAAGATCCCATAGCTCCTGCCTTGGATGGTGGCGAGGAGGCCCACCATTGGTGTCATGGGTGAGTACAATGACATTCAAGAGGGGCAACACCGGGTGGGCACATTGGAGGGGCATTGCAAGGTAGCATAATCATTGTGCAAAGCAAAGATAGGAGACCCACGAGTTAGAGGGCGGGGCAGGGGTGGATTAGGGAAGAAGGTGAAGAAGGGAGGGATTTGGGAGAAAGTGGGGCATGTGGGAGAAATCAAGGGGATCAGGAAGCGAGAAGTTCAACTGTTGCATGAGAGAGAGAGAGAGGGTAGGGGCGCAAATAAGGGTTAGGGTTGGTGGTTTTATATGTGCTACAAGAACAACGCATGATTTGGGTTTTTCCATTGGGTCAATCTTCCCATTGGCATGCCCTTGGTGTAAACTATCGACGATGAGTTATATGCCACAAATGGGCTCTTATTTTTGGTCCATCACTGGTCTCGTCTGTCACCAATATAAATTTATCATTGACGGGCCACATATTTGGCATGGCCCATCAGTGGTGACCCATTCAGTTGAATTTTTTACATGTTCGCTTACGGGTCACAAGGAGCCCATCAGCGGAGGAGGGGTCAATAGTGTGTCATTATATGTAGTAGTACAGTATGCAAGGAAGCACGGTTATGGGTCTCCTAATTAATTTGGTGTGCTTATAGTTAGTATCTTATTTCATTTCTATTTGTTGGGCAGTTATGGCAGAGGGAGGTTACAACCTTGAGGCAGCAAGTGCAGAACTTACACCACAATAATAGGTAATATTAATGTTCAAATAAAACTAGGTGATTTCGCCGCACGTTGTTGCGACAATTTCAAGATTACTTTTTGACGAATTCTGTATCAACGAAATGACCTAAATCAAAAACTATTATTTTCAGAAGTAATTGTGTGTGAATAAATAGTATGCATGCATGTTGGACCACTGGAGTTGCAACTATTAAATTGGGGCATGCATGTGCTGCAAAATGGTGTTAGTGGATGATGATGTGGCACATTTAGTGATGCGGAGGGCTGCATGTTAAGAGAATTGAAGTTAGTGGAGATCAACTATTTAGGTATATAGGATATAGGATGCCAATAGTATAGCTATGCGGAAGTTTGACTGGTTTCATGTGCAAATTAATTGAATTAAAAGAGTGTGCCATACTGCCATGTGTGCCAAGATCTCTGACTTGAAGACTAGGCCGGTGAAAGACCATGTATTTAGTAGCATCTTTTTTTTTAATGAATGGAGAAGCTAGATAGGTACACTCTTAAACCATGTGACCTCTAATGTTAGGCAATTGTTGGGAGAGGAGCTATCGGGGACCACTATTCGAGATCTGCAGTTTCTAGTGAACCAGGTTGAGATGAGCTTGCATTCCATAAGAAAGACGAAGGTGCCCTTTCATTTCACCTTCTGTTACCTTCTTTTTATTTTTTATTTTTTCATACATATTTTACTTATAATTGCTTTCTTTAGGAGCAAGTTATGGCTGCGGAGATCCATGAACTTAACCAAAAGGTTCACTGCATCTTCTTCATGTTCTTGCTTGTACTGTTGTTGGTGTTGAAATAGCTCAGTTAGCATTGATTCTCGTATATGTGTCTGTTATTGACAGCTGAGGTATCATGAGATGGAATTTGCTTTTGCAGGGATTTCTTGTTCAGAAGGAAAATGTCAAACTTGACAAGAAGTTCAGTATTGCTCATGAGCAGAACATAGAGCTGCGGAAGCAGGCAAGAAGTGCCATGGATTCTCATGTACTAAATGAATGCTAGTAGCTAATATATCCTAGCTTGTCATCTGATAGCCCAGATATACTTAGAAATTGAAGTAATTGTTGATGAACCACATTTTATAACGTATGCATTAGCAAGTCACTGAAAGAATTGAAATTTAAATTTGACTTGAAGTTCACATATAGATGATTAGTATATGATTTGAAAAAGGAGACAAATTTGACAGATCAGTATAGAACCCCTACATATATTCTCGGGTAGGTTTTATTCAATATTTCACATCCCAGATAGCGTATTAGCATGACTAATGCAGATTCAAGTAAAAATAATTCTTTCTGAAAAAGTAATAATCTATTGGACAAATTAGAAATGCGATGCAACCCTGTAATTTAAAAAATATATGTGTTGGAACTGGTTGCAAACTATATATGTAGCAGCTCTAGCCAATATAACATTGACCATATATATTAGCTTCAGTTTTTTTTATTTACTGCAAGCATAGAAGGAAGCTGGCACTTGACAAACTATTAATGTGTGTTAATTAGCTTTCGGCGGCCATGAGATCGAGTGAGCAGCAAGCCAGCGGAAGCAACTCAAAAGCTGCTGCCGGATTATTGTTGTCTACTAGAGTACGTGAACCAAATATTGACCTTGAGTTGCGCCAGCAGGAGCATGAGGATGAATAACATCTACTATACGTCCACTGCATGCAGTAAGTACTGTAATCCATATGCTCAATCGATGCCAAACAAGTCGCAGTTAATTACATTTCTAACTTTAAGTTTATTGTTTTGCATGAGACAGCGTCAAGTGGTTAACTGTATTTTCAGTGCATGCGTGAACGAACGAAGCTCTTTCGTGTGCAATTTGCGCCTGGTGTGTACAAACAATATTGAAGCAGACACCTGCTTAGAACCATATATATTTTTGGTGTTATATATAGAAGCAGCAGACGTAGTATGTATGTGAGTCTAATTACTCGATATTAACAAGGAGGCAAGAGAAGATCAAGTATATTATGAATGGACATGTTTCCCAAACTTAATCATGTTTTTGGTTACTTGTATATGTTGGTCACAATTCAGAACCTAATTAATGAGCTTCTGTTCTTTATTTTGTGTGGGACCTAATTAATGAGTTGAATATGGAGCTACTAAGTTTTTGTTGCGAGTCAGATATCGGCCGTCTACAGAAATTTGCACAACTTTGGAGGTCATGGTGTATTATGTGTTTAGGAATGGATGAGAGTATCCCCATTTCCATGCGTTTGAGATTATTAGCCACTAGCAGTATAGTCAACCCTACCCTACCATGTTCTCATAAGCCCTTCTTTTACTCCGATAGTATTCCGGATCACAATTGATGCAGAGAAAAGGGATATATTTTTATATTATAATAAAAAGGCAAGTGTAGTAAATAGAGAATCCGATCGTGTCATGACTTATTATTCCATTTCTACTCCATGAGATCTTACGGAGTCTATTCATGGATGCCACGGTTGAGGTATGATCATAGAAAATGTTCTCCTCCAGTGAACAAGGCTATCCTTCCTAGGTAGGGGGAACTTGCGTGTTGACATGGTAAAATACCCACCCTAACATGCGATCATGCAGAGAAAATGGCCCATACATTTCCGTTATATTATGATATTTATATCCAATAATTATTTTGTCACTATACAATAAATCATACAATAAGTAATTGTTGATGAACCACATTTCATACATGCAGAGAAATTGTCACTAAATTATTTATTGTATAGCTCATATGTCACTATACAATCAAATTTCAAAAAAAATTGCAATACCCATAACAATGCACAGGGTATGATCCAGTTTGAGGAGTGATTGTGCCGATATACAATTGATCGATGCCCCAGATGGAATTAGCTGGCTTCATAATGCTAAAAGATTTTCAGTGAAGGTTTTCTTTAATCATGCTCTTACATGGAATGGAGTAATTGGTTATATATTGAAAAATCAAGATACCTTCCAAAAGCCGGAGTTTTTATTTGGTTGGTTCTGAAAGATAGTATTTGAACCAAGGGTGTCGTTAGGAAAAGAGGATGTAAGGTGATGATCTTTGTCTCTTTTTTGGGCCACACGAAAGCAAATACCACCATTTTCTTTCATTGCCCGATTGCAAAATATATCTGGAATGTGGTTTGACGTGTTGGTGTCTACTTTTAGCATGTCTTACGCGCTAGTTAACTAACTGACGCTCATGCATAGCTCGCATGGGCCATAGCCCAAATAACGAGCAAATGGCTCGGTCACTTGGTTGCACTAGCAAGCTAAAAAGATCATCTAGAAAAACCAGCAGTTGTTGGTTTAGAAAAATCTGACATCTGGTTTTTTATAGATAACAAAATGCATATATTTAAAAATGTTCGCAGATTTTTTAAGAGTACATGAATTAATTTTTTTCAATGAATTTCAATACTGCTCATGAATTTGAAAATTTGAAAAAGTTCATTGACTAGCAGAAGGGCTAGAATGATTGGCCCAATGGCGGAACGCTCGCGAGCAATGCGTACAAAGATTGAAGTAATTGATTGGCTGCTAAGACTAGTCGTAAAGAAGAGTAACTTTGAGTAGTGTCATGCATACGTCATTAGTCTATAATTATATGTTATTAGTTTTATAGTGTAAAGTATCATATAACTAGTATCATAAATATTCGATTGTTTTGCCTTGGTTATGTTACGATAACATATTAGAGCATGGACAATAGTATAGCCAGCTGCAGCCTGCAGGCTATATGATGGTGTCATGTTTTTTATAGCGAAGTTTATAGCCGGTGATTATAATAGTTGGATAAATATGTACTATTTTATTGATGATGGTCCCTCTCACTCTGTCACGGAGTCTCTAGGAGCACGTGTTACAGCTGATTATTAATTAGTAGCATGCATCTTCTCTTTCCTCTTCATCCTCTTCCAACTCAGCAAAAAAATAATATTTAAAGTCTTACAACCTGCCCACTCGCGGAGCTTCCGCAAGGTCGAGTGGGCCGTGGCCCGCCCAGGTCTGGAGCAATTGTTTTTTATATATGTATGCTTCATACCCAGCCGACCAGCCCAGCCCACAACCAGTACGCAGGTGTAGCCCATAGCCGATACACACATCTCAGCCTCTCTGCCTCTCCCTCGCAGACTAGCATGCCCGCACAACCGCACGTCTCTGACCGCCGTCTCTTAGCGCAGCCGCCGGCTGCCGCGGTGCCCGCCACCGGCCAGCGCCGCCCACAGGCGCGGTGCACATCAGTCCCTCCCTTCCCTAGTTCCCTTCATCCAACGCCCCACCGGCACCACCACTCCTTATCCGACCCACGCACGGACGCTCACACGCAGCCGCGAGCAAGTTAGCCGGCGAAGGCGGCGATGGTGCCAGGCAGTGAACTGCCAAGTGGGAAAATCCTTCTCTGAATCCTTACAAGTTGCGAGCTAAATCGATTCAAATCATCCCGATTTTATTCCCCTAAACTGACCTAGGTCATCGTTCATTGAAACTGAATCATCCCCAAAATTCCCAATTGGCTGAATATTTCACTGAAGATCATATACTAGGTTAGTGTCAAGTGTCCACAGACCACAGTAGATGGTTTCTAATTTAGTAGGCAAGTTGTGTTTCCACAATTGAGCAATTGGCCTTGCTGTAGCATAAATAATTCATTCCATTGTGTTTACAGGTTACAAGTTGAGGTCTAGGCAGCCATGGGCAACGCCAGTCAGCGAAAAATCGATTTGGTTTTCAAAAGAAAAAGAGATGATGACATGATTGGAGTTGAGGAAGATCCTTCACCAATGGCAGATCAACCTTTGCCAATGCTTGAAATTGAACAGCCACAACAGCCACACCCAGAGAGCCAAGATGAAGGTCTTCATGCAAATGAACCTATAACATTCTTGCCAATAACTTGTTAGTTAACATAGAGGGTGAAATTCTGGAGAAGTACAGCTATGAGCATATCATTGAAGATTTCAAATGCGTGAAGGAACGGAATGCTGATTTATAGTATGTAACTCCACACAACCTTGCCTGATGGTCAAATGGTATGGCTTATTTTGGTTTGGAGTAGTATATGTGGTCAAATGTTATGGCTTATTTTGGTCTCGGTAATATATATGTATATATATGCATTTGCTCATCTTGTATTCAATGCGAACAGAAGGTGTGGCGACTATATCTATTGAAATAGTATATATGCTTTAGAATTTGAAGAATATTGTGCTCTTTGGCCCGTCCAACTTTTTTTTCCAAGCTCCGCCACTGAATCCGCCTACAATAATTATAACACTCTGGACGCACCGCCGGTTACTGGCCGTTACTTCTGATGCGATCTAGACTGACCCCACAGATCAACATTAGTTTTCCCTGCGCACTTTGCCCCCACTCATGCACACCTGGGGCCAACTTCTCAGTTTGTCACCCATACTAAAATTGTTTCAAGTTGAGCATGCTTAACTTTGGATATCTTTTCGAATGGGCTTCAGAAAAAAAAAATTCTTGATGATATAAATAGTTTATCATTTCTATTAAGCCAAGTTCTCACACTATTTCTAGTCTAAGCGTCGAATAGAAAATGCAGGCTACCATGTCATCCGTGCCTCAACTTTGAGCGAGCGCGCGAGCTGTCGTGTCGTTTGGCCTGACCCATGTGTTGAGTGATAGAAGCGCCCAAAATAAACTTGGGAGCCCCAATGTGACGCTCCATGTGTCAAATTAGTTATGTTTCGCACAGGCTCCCTCTAACTAGGTCGGCCTATTTAGCGTATACTGACATGGTTCTTATAGTGAGCTAGCTACTGTAAAGGCTCAGGTTATGGTAGTGGCCTTTTTTTCATTTGGTTTTCGAAGAAAACAGAAAAAACATATATTGTTGTAAATTTTGAAGTTTTAATATTACGAACATTTTTTGAAATAATGAACATTGTGGGAAACACTAATATTTTCTAAAAGAGTTGAACTTTCTCTAGAAACGCAAGAGTTTTTTTAATTTGTTGAATTTCTGAACATGCTTTTAAAGGATTGACTTTTTTCAGATACTCAAATATTTTTTGAAGAAACATTGACTTAAAAAGTGAATACAATATTTTTATAACACAGACTTGTTTTCAAATTTACTTTTTTTATAAACAGTACATTTTATAAATAAGTGAACATTGTTTAATAAGCATGATTTTTTTCAAATTTGCAAATATCTTTTCAAACTTTTAGGAAATCAAAATGAGAAAGAAAACCCTGAAATAAACATGTAAAGAAGAAACAGAATATATATATAGGGTCACGCTATTCGTCACCCTGGGTGAGGAATAGTTATTCTTCACCCCCTCTCTATTTTGACATCAATGCACCGTATTTTTACGTTTCGTAAATTTTGTTTTATTTCATACTTAAAAAGAGAACGTAAGAAAAGATGTACTCACCCTAAAAAATATTTTATGTTACGTAAAATCACGAATGTAAAAACATAGTGTAAAACATATATAAAATGTGATTTTTCTGTTCATATAACCTATATTTTTGTTTTTTATACCAAATTTTACATATTAAATCAAAATGCATGTAACTATTTATATTCTAAACGTAATTTATTTAGGAAGCGATCGTAAGATTACCTCGGGTGAAGAATAACTTATGTAATCTTACGATCGCTTCCTAAATAAATTACGTTTAGAATATAAATAGTTACATGCATATTGATTCAATATGTAACATTTGGTATAAAAAAGCAAAAATATAGGTTATAAGATCAGAAAATTCACATTTTATTTATGTTTTACACTATGTTTTTACATTCATAATTTTACGTAACATAAAATGTTTTTTAAGGCGAGTACATATTTTCTTACGTTCTCTTTTTATGTACGAAATAAGACAAATTTTATGAAACGTAAAAATTCGGTGTCTTGATGTCAAAATAGAGAGGGGGTGAAGAATAATTATTCCTCATCCATAATGACGAATAGCGCGACCCTATATATAGTCTTACACGAGAGCCGTTCGCGCGAAGCGTTGAAGCCTTACACGAGTTTCTAATAAGAATCCGTCTCCAAACCTGGATGATCCCCTTTCTGTTCTCTCGCTTCGGCGAACGCTGCCTTAAGCCCGGCCTTGTCTCCATGTTGTCGCCTATGTGCACCCACATTCCTCTCATCTTTTTCCCACATAGAGCCGATCAAACCCATGGCCACCCTAACAAGCAAAACCCTTCTCCAACACGAACCCGCCGACGACGGAGATGCCGTGAGCAGAACCATCGGCGGCATCCCTTTCCACCTCACGGAGAGGATCCTCCGATGCATCAGCCCGCTCGAGTCAGTGTTCCTCGTCACCGTCTGCAAGTCCTGGGCGGCGACCATCTCCAAGGTGGACACCAGTGGCAGCTCCGGATCTGGAGCGACGAGGCAGCTCCTGTGCCGCCGCAGCGCGGACGCTGGAGCAGGACCCTCCTGGCCCGTGCAGCTCTGCCAGGACAGTGCGGTCCGCGACGCCACCGCACCGTCTTGTTCTCCCGCCGGCCGCTCCTCCATGCTGGCAGCGGTGGGTGCTAGTGCCCACTCCGTCGGCCCGCACGAGCACTACGGAATCGAAGGCGCGCGTCGCGCGCAGCATGAGGCAGCGGACACGGGAGAGGGACGCGGCGGAGCAGTCCGCGCATCGCCACCGCCGGATGCAGGCAGAGCCCGATGAGGACGAGCGGCTCCTCGCATGGGTCTACGGCCGGTCCCTCACAACAGCGGAGACAGACGCTCACCGCCTCCAATGGAAGGAGGTAGTGGCAGAGCAAGCTCGGGTCGCCAAGTTGAAGCGGGAGCAGAACAGGGTTGTCCGTCGGATGAAGGGGCTCATTGTCCTCTCTTACTCCGACGACAACGATGACGACTGCAAGTCTGCAACAGCTGCACCTCCTCCTTGGACGAGCAAGACCCTCCAGCAGTCGTGGATGCCTACAGCTGCGGTGGTGACAGGAAGGGCAAAGGCCTGACGAGGAAGTGGTGATCCCGCCCCTCTCCACATATGTACTGAAAGGCGAGCCTACTTCAGCTGGCATGATTTACCGGCCAGCTGAGTTCCATGCCGATCCACTGGCTAGCTGGCTGCACGCTCACTTATACTCCCTCCGTTCTGAATTACTTGTCTTGGATTTGTCTAGATACGGATGTATCTAGACTCATTTTAATGCTAGATACTTCCGTATCTAGACAAATCTAAGACAAGTAATTTGGAACGGAGGGAGTATCTGCTTGATTTATCCCCAGGATACACTTGCAGGATTCCTGCCATAGTCAAGCTGCTATTGAGGGACACCCTCCGGCTTGGCGATTTTCTCTTTTTATTTATCTGTTGTGGAGAAAGACCTCGACAAAGATGTTCAGGTACTATCTGTTGCCTTTTCCTAATTCGGTCTTCTGTGTTTTCTGTTTTTGTCGTTGATGGAGCATGGAGATCATCCGATTGACCTTCGAAAAATGATAACTGCTGACCGTCAGCTGTGGCCGATTTCGCAGCGACCCCCCAATCTGCCGACGGTTCCGTTTACGCGAATCTTGGCGCAGGATTGAAGTCACGTCAGATTTTAAAGTAGTTCGCTGTGTG